CCATAATTAAAAAAAAAACGTTCCAAAGAAAATAACAGAGAATGTTTAGAAATAAAGGAGGCGAGAGAGTTTGTTATTTTCCTGCCAAAACAGCCAATGCGAAAATGAACAGGTGTCGATTCAGTACTTAAAAATGCATGGATTGTCGCCGTCAGAGTCTTTCCTTCTTTTCTGTCGATTTTCGGTGCTTTCGAATTCTGAGAGGATTGTAGCCAGTTTTGGGGGCCATGTCGCCAGTCGCTTCTATCCCTTGGAAGGCCTCATAATAATAATAATAATAATAATAATAATAATAAATCAGATTTATACAACGCTAAAATATAAAATATTTTAAAGCGCTTGACAGTGGATTTAAAAAAAGAATAGAATAAAAATTTATCTGTTTAAAAATAAAACAATTTAAAAACATATAAGATTAAGATGGCTTGTAAGCTGCTTTAAAAAAGTAAGTCTTAACTTCGGTTTAAAAACAGTAATATAGTAGGAAAACCGCAATTATTAGGAGAATCATTGGATCTGCATGCAATAGAAAAGAAAAAATATATATATATATTTTATTAGTCGTTCAATACACTCGTGATTCGTTACTTCCCTGAGTTTTAGGCTTGAGAGAAGACAAGAAAAGGTGAATAAGGCTATGTTCACATTATACCGGATAACTCTCGCGCCGGCACGAAAACCATACCGTGTAAGGCTTCTTTTCACGCATAAGAACGATGATTTCAGCGCGATTTCTGTAACGCAGGAAAGCTGCACCGCGCCGATCTCGAAAGTGAAGTGTCACATATGGCGGATAGGTTCTGCGCAAAACTTCGGTGCAGTGCTCGTGTAAAATGTATTCGGTGGGTAGCGGAAGTGAATAGATGAAAGTAAATCTTCAGGAGTGAGGACTGGGATTTACTTCACCAAATTAAGCCTCGGCCAAACGTTTCGGCACGATGTTCGATGAGTGAACGCCTTGTTCTAGTTCGGTGCCTTTGTAACCTGAGATCAGGCCCAATTTTAGTGGTTCTCATAATACATTCTCTCTAATGTTATTACAAAACGAAACGAAAATTGAGCCTGATCTCAGGTTAGTGCCGTTGCTGTTCATACCATACCAAACAGGGATAGCTTTTCGTATCAGCACGAAAGTTATCCGTTACAGTGTCAAACGTAGCCTAAGCCAGTAGTTGGGAAGAAACAACAAGTCATAGAAATTGCATGGAAGTTTTACTTAAAGTAGGAGTAAATACCAGATGCCTCCACGTCAGCTATAAAAAAAGCTTCGACTGATAACTCTTAGAGCCAAACACTATCGACGCTTTCGTCTCCTTATCCTCGACACAGGAAAGACGCGGACTAAATGCTATTTGATCCCCGGAACTTTGTATCTAGAATCACCAGTCAATTCGTTGGTTTTGAAGGTTAGGCTGAAGATCTTTCTTGAAACCAACAGGCCACGATCGATGCACCCATGTTTTTTACCATCTCCCTCTGGATTCCCTTCCACTATGTTGTAGCCGATACCCACGAAGCTTACACCACTAGGTGCAGTTAGGGGCCCATCATGCCCAGTAACAACGGCAGCACCAAGAACGGCGAGGAAAACGCAAAATAGCATGCTTCTCCTGTCTTCTTTTTATTCCGTTGAATTCTATTACAGAAACAAAATTGCACGCATACTTCTTATAGGTGTAAGTCGTGTAAGCGACTAGTCCCGAATTGAAACGCTAAGAAATTTGTGGTGGCTTACTAAGGTGTACTAGCCTGCGTAGCAAGCGCTTGACGACGGTGGCGAAAACGTCTCTTAGAAAGTGAATTCATGCTGTTTCAAAATTCGTCGCCCTTCTCCTATGTCGTTAGTTTGTCTATGTTGGTGAATTGTGTTGGAGTTGAATTCTAAAGGACTGCATCTGAGTTTTAAAGAAGAATTAGAAAAGAGTCGTGGGGTGACGGCAAGGAAATATACAAAAAGCCGTGATGCTCCCGCACAGTTGTTATCTGCTAATCTAAACGTATTGCTTTTTTACCGTTTTTGTTGCCGTCGTCGTCCTGGTTGCTTAAGCTTTCTACTATGACAGCAAAAACGGGGCGCGCGCAGACATGCCTATTCCCTCACGCGTCTCCCTCGCGCGCCTCGTTCTTTCTTGGGCTCAGTTCTTCCATGCGCCTGCTACGCAGGCTAAAGGTGTACAAGGTATCTATAGCGCGAACTGTACATGTTCTAATTGTTTTATTATACAATTTATGAGTGAAAAGTTTTGGTATTAAAAGTGCGCCGTGTACTCTAACATATAAATAAAACGTCGTAAAGAAAGAGCAACAGTTATGGTAATCAGCGATTAAGTCGTACCCCTTCTTAGGGCGCGAGGATCAGACCATCTGTTAAGAGGTCTATCAAGGGAGGTTTGAAACTGACTAAACAACCGACTGCGTGCTTTGACAGGGAAAATTTTTAACCATTATTATTATTATTATTGATATTATTTTGGATAGGTGGTCGCCTACCGTAAGAGGTGGTCGCGCATGAAGTTACGACTGTATTCTCATTATACAGGGGCACCCAACGTCAATTTTCGGAAATTATCTGTGCGGAACGCGATTTCAGATCTAGAATTTTCGGAAAATTTGTTGTAAAATTTCTTGCTTACCTGCCTCTCCTAGGATTTTCGAACATCTGAAAAATGGTATAATTGTCCATTTTTAACAGATTTTTACCCTAAGAGGGTCACCTAGAATTTTCGGAAGCCTTTTTCTGGTTGAAATTTTCCAAAAGGTGAGTTTTGATCCCTATAATTTTCGGATCACTGGACGTTCAGCTAGGAAATCCGAACAGATGAAAAATTTTAGGGGATAAAAATATGCCTATATCTACCGTTTAAATACTAAAATAAGTTTAACTATGCTATGTTTAAGTGGTTTTGAACTATATTCTCCTTGGGTGCCCCCGATTCAGTAATCTGCAGTCTGCTCTCTTTAGTTCAAGTCAATTCACCTTTGTCGAAGGTGACTAGTTTTAAATATTCAGTTGATGCAATTGTTATGCCGATATATCGGAGCAAACAAAGAAGTAAACTTGTAAAACAATTTTAAATTAATATAACATTTATTAGAATGTCGGCTTTAAAAAAAATTGACGACACCTTTTCATCAAATACACTCAATTAACGTACCAAAAGGGTTGAAGACTTTACTGGCAAAATTGAATGCATGCTCACTCCAATATTTTAATTCATAAAACATGTGAGTTAGGAGCAAATAATATCAGGTGTGTTATTTTACCCTCCAAAAGCAAACAAACAAAAAAGGACGGTTGAGTGACTCTTTCCTATACTGAGCCAGGTCAGTCAACCCCAATGTTTTTACTTCCCTTTTCTCTCTTAAAGGAAATATTGTCTTTTCCACGACATATTATGGAAATATTAAATTTTTCGTGCACAGACTAAGGGTTAATTGTATTATGCTGGGGAAAAAAGTGCAGAATAAGTGGGATTTATTTTTGTTGCTCAAGATGTGATAGCCAAATCACGTCTAAAAAAAAATCATTTATCAGGTTTTTTTGTCCGATTCGACTTTTATATCGATCGACTTGCTACTCACACGCTTCACTACTGCGCTTGCTCAGCTCCAAAGTTTTGCCTCATTCTTTTTCAGTGCTTTTACAAAAGACGATTTAATCTTGTACCCAGATCTCAATCGAGAATATACAGCAGATGTGTTTAAAAATGTTCTAACATTAAAACGAAAGAGAACGAGCAATAGCAATGCAGCATCAACAAATACTCCAAAGGCAAAAAACTTATGATTAGTTTTAGATGCCAATCGTAAATCTGATGTTTTATCAAAATTCACAAGGCACGACGGCTGAACAAATAAAAAATATTTTTTTTAAAAAAAATAATCAAAACCATTCGATTGCGCACAAAAAAAATCTTATGAATATGAATCCAGTTGGGTCTAAAAAATCTTTTGCGTTTCTAGTTCAAACTCCAACAGAAACACCAAGACACGAGTTCCCTGCTAGCAAGGGAAAGACACGAGAAACTCTTTGGTAACTTAGCTTAACGCTATGTACAAACAGTTTGCAAGTTAAAAATTGACCCTTGAAATTGACAATCGTTTAAATTTATAAAATTACTCGCTGTCTAATCATAGCAGGTCAAAACAAATTTATTGATTCAACAAAGAGTCATCACCGAGAAGTTAACTCAGGAAACTTTTTGCGTTTTTTTTCTCTATTCTCCTGATTCGAATGCACAAAAAAAAAATTATTACACAAAAGAAAAAAATTCTTGTGAATAAATCGAGTTGGGTCTAAAAAATCTTCCGCGTTTCTCGTTCAAATTCCAACAGAAACACCAAGACACGAGGAACTCTTTGGAAACGTTATGTACAAACAGTTTACCAGTTAAAATTGACAAACCGTCAGTTTTATAAAATTACTCGCGGTCTAATCATAGCAGGTCAAAACAAATTTATTGATTCAACAAAGAGTCATCATCGAGAAGTTAACTCAGGAAACTTCTTGCGTTTTTTTTCTCTATTCTCCTGATTCGATTGCACAAAAAAAAAAATCATATGAATATAAATCCAGTTGAGTCTAAAAAATCTTTTGCGTTCCTCGTTCAAATTCGAACAGAAACACCAAGACACGAGAAACTCTTTGGTAATTTAGCTTAAAGTGCCCATAACGAAATTTTTTTTATTTTGTCATCCAAATCTACATATCAAGCAATGACGTTTCCCGAAGAAATTTTTTGATTCCGTCGAAATGCGATTTTTTAATGATTTTTCTAAAGTCTTTGAAATCATAGTTTTTCGCGGTCTACCTGTTCCGCTGAGAAGAATACCGACGGGCTCATAATAAGCCCACGTGATTTGTCTGTGACGTAGACTCAGGAACCTTTGTTGTGAACGCGTCTCACTGATTCTTTAAGATTTGGAGGGAAACGAGCGAAAGAAAGCCAGAAATTTACCGGAATAGTTAAAGCCACAGCCAAAAATCAGCTGTATCAACGATGGAAGAAATCATGTCTGGTACAGAAAGTGAACGGACCGCCGAAGACAGTCAAGAGGAGTTTGAAAGCATAGAAGTTGAGGCCACCGAGTTTGGCGAAAATCGAGCAAGTGGTATCACTGTAAGCACGAACGCAGATGATTCTTTAGAACCATACGCTGACGAGCCGCTGGCTGATGAAGCATGGTTAGCCAATTATAGGAAAATACAAGAAGAGAAAAGTGAACTAGAGGAGGATTTAATCAAACGGCTGGAGAACAGAGTGCGAGTTAGTTACTGGTAAGTTCGCTATCTTTACCAACATTCCAACAAACCTAAATCCAATCCTGAAACAACTGTCAACGAATTATTTCTCTTTCGCAGGTGTTCTTGTGGGAACTGTAGCCTAAATCATCTTAGAAATATCAGCGAGTGCTACTGCTGTAAAGAGCTCGAAGGCTGCTGTGAAGCACTGGAGAGTGATATTGTTGTAGAAGACTTGGAAGAAGGAGATGTGTTAAAATGCATAACAGAACACCCTGGCTTTAGACCTGTTTGTCTGGAAAAATGGAGCTTGCGACTTGCCAGTGGAAAATACCGTAAAAAGGACAAGGGGTATTACAAAAAGGTGGCATCGGAGGAAAGGTGAGATAATAACACATAGTTTTTTTTTTTGTAATTTGCATAACATGTACATGTCAGTTATCAAAACTGTCCATGTTGCCGTAGTTACAGATCACACTGCTAGGTCCAGGAAATTTTGGTTTTTCCTTAAAAGTTTAGTTTCAGTACAATGCTTCATAAACTTAACTAGAAATATGCTAATCGCAGAACCTCGCAAGGCAGATAGTAATGGTCAAAAATGGGAAGAAAGGGAAAAGAATAGGGTAATGAAAACACTGAAAAAAGGAATAGTGAAATTGAACCACAATGTAGATATTATCTGTAGTGTTTGAGGATGATTTATTTATTTACTTGTTTCTTTTGTAGATATCTGCGATCAATTGCCTATCGGGAATTTTCAAGGCTGGTATATGGATTCATGGGCAAAAAAAGAATACCTCTGCCATCATGTGCATATAATGCCATGATCCGCACTGCATTTGCTCTACAGGAGGATGAAACCTTTACTGGTTTTGAACTGGAGGATGATTAAAGTGGAAAAAACTAGCCACAGATAGTTTTGATTTTACACAATTTTTCCAGAGTCATGGGAATTAAATTTTTGATAATATCTCTGGCCTCATTCTAAGCATAAAAGGTCTCCTGCATAATTATGTCACTTTGCCCAGCAAGTATCATTGACAGAATGTCAGAATTAAATACAGTAAAGTTCAATTTCTGAGAACATTTGCTCTTTTTCTTTCATGTCAAACTGAATTTTCACACCATTTTAAAACAGTATAGTCCAAATACCTTGCAACATTTTTCATTGTTAACTCATATCAAAACAGTAGTTTTATGTGTAATGTATTATTATCCTCTGTCACAATGCCTTGGTATTTTTAGAATAAGGGCAGAGACTTTGGTTAAATCCTTTTTCTGTCCAAACAAGATGGTTTTGTTCCGCCTTTGTTCCTTAAAATGTTTTCAAAGTAATAAATAATCTCTTTATAATCGTAAATTATCCAAAACATGTCAATAGACACTGCCCACCTAGACTAGCCTTTGCTATTTGTGGGCAGTGAGAAAATAAAACTGTAAATATCTGAATAATCACATTACAGTTTAAGATAGGTTGGTGATAGTGTTTTTGTACTACCAGGAAATCTCTTTTACACATGTATTTACTTAAGTAGAAAAATTGGGTACAAACATGATATTGTTTTGCCGCCAAACATTCAAAGTTTGGAGTAGATGGCTGTTGTCGACTCGACTTGTTTTCACTCAACAAAATATTCTTTGTAAGAATTTTTAGACGTTAAGAATAATTTCCGAAAAACGAAATGAGTGGAACACACTGTCCAAAAACATATCAACAACTTGCCATCGGTGCGACAGTTTGTCTTAACAGCTGTCAAACTTGAAATGTTTGGTGGCTAAACATGTCATGTCTTGCACCCTATTAAAACATGTTTCCTGTATCGTGTCCAGGCTTAAATACAACAGATGGTAAATCTTTGATTTCAATTAAATGTGTACTAAATTGTCTCAAGCCCTCAAAATCTAAAACTTTAGACCATTAGGTTCTCCTATTTCTGGGACAGTCTGTGACAAATTTGTGTCCTCTCATAGGGTTCTTGCAGGCAGAACAGACTGGACGTGCCCTTATAGTTTGCCCTCTTGGTTGTCTCTCTGTCTGGTCTGGCACTGCTAAGAAAGGAAAAAAAACAATGTGCCAATTTATTTTGTGAAAGGTGTGTAGCATAAGTATAAACATCAATGTAACTCTATAACATTGCAAATCCGAACAACAACTTCAAAAAGGGAAAGTGAACATATTACTCACTTGTGCTTCATGCCAGATCTAATAGAATTTTTGGTGTAGTGTAAAGAGGCTTACCTGGCAATGAGGAAGGTCCTGCTGTTGGGTCTGATGTGGGAGGCACATCCCTTGTTACCATCCTCAACCTTTCTTCTCTTTTCCTTATAGCTTCCTCTCTAGACTCTTTGTCCACAAGCATGCTAACCATGTGATCTGGTGTCATTTCCTTCAGTTCTAAGGCTGCATCCTGAAGCTGTTGCTTATTCAGCCCCAGAAAGAACTGAAAGAGATCTTCCACATAGTCTAAAAATGAAAAACACTATCTTACTAACATTCCCTAAGTACATGTGTCAGAAAATGATACATTATCGTTACTCAGATGTTGTAAGTACCAGCTTAAAAAAGATTCATCAGAATATCAAACACCAAAAACTGAGGATAAGTAGGTGGTTTGGTAGGTTTAAATGGTGTGGATCCACTGGAATGACTTTGTAATTTGTCAAAAACCTATGAAAAACTAGGAGAGAAAACAGAAATGCAAAACCATCCTATGCCTGTACTCTTTGTGGTTTGCAAGGAAACATCCCATTTAGAATACATTTCTAAACTAATAAAGATTGATCATTTATTTACCAAAGTTTTGTTCGACCTTTCTACTTCTAACGGTTGCTTCGCCATTTTTAAATTTGGGGTAGCTGACTTTCAGAGGCACAGTACCATCTTTGTTGACTTTGTCCTCTCTATGTAAATTAAAATTGAAGTGCAAAGCTGCCAAAATATGCCTGCAATAAAAGTAACATAACATAAGTTAGCATAAAAATTCCAGATATGTTCATAAAATTATGGCCCCCAAAAATTGCAATGCAAAGACAATCCTGTATTATTTTTGTTGTTCCCACAGTGGTATTAAAGAGGTCAAATTGATATCAGTAGTAGTAACACTCAGCCTTACCTACAGTACATTCCAATGTAGGAGTAAGCAATCAACTTTGGAGCAAACAAGTTCAAAACTGAATGAAAGCCTTCCAGGCAGTCTGTCTGTGCACTGGGGGAAGCTTGCATTATTCCCTTCTTTAAACTATCCGCCGTCAAAGCCTTCTTTAACTTGTCATATACATTTTGGTCTTAATTGAAAAAATAAAAAAAGAATCAGCTTTCAGTATGGCACTTTTGCAGTTAATGCCACACATACAGAGGATAGACTGTCTTACAGTTAGGAATTACAGAATTTCAGCACGAATTTCAGCACCCCCACCCACCTCCACCAAGCAGACCCAACCCGAGAAACCAGTACATTCGCTGTGCACCCACTGTCAACTTTTCTTGTACATCTTTAAAAAATAATGTACATGTAGAAAAGGGGAAATTTGCAATTATTACAAATGAACAGAATGAAGAATGCAGCATACATGCATGCATGCATTCTGGTCAAAGGATTCATAACAGGTAAAAGGTTTAAGTACCTGGATCAAGCCATTTCCTATCAGGAATGTCACCATGCGCACATTTGTTAAACAGTGGTTCATCTAAGCCAGAGTGTTTGTTTACAATGTGGCTAAGAAACGACTTGAACTTGGCCCAGATCACTTTTCCATTGCCATCTGAGGTAGTGGTCGCGCTCCAATAGAGGTGCCTCTCACAGGGCTTGACCCATTCTTTCAGGTCTTCATTGCCTTTATCCTTTGCAATTTTTGAGAGTACTTTCCTGATCTCTGCAATACAAGTATGTGAATTTAATGAAAAATATTAATCAAGATAAGTTTTTGTTTCCTACATAATCAACAGGAATGTTCTTGACCCAATAATAAATTATTATACCTACTTTACACTGTATCTGCAGGCCCCAGTTGTTCAAAAGCTGGATAGCACTATCCACTGGATAAATTACTATCCAATGGATAAGTATTAGGGACATCAACTGCACTATCCACTGGATAGAGATTTATCAAGAGGATAGCGCTATATTCACCTTTTGAACAACTGGGACCAGGACTATATATCCTGTAAGACTGTCTGTCTGAGATACAATGTAAATAATGTACTTAAATCAACACCGCATCCTTAAAGGAAGTTCACGCACATTGTTAAAGTTTTTTTTTTTCTTAATTCAGGTCATGTGAATATTTCTTTTAAATTTTGCCCTACTCTTACATGCAAATGTGAGAAAGTGTAATTTTCGGGAAAAAAATTCGATAGAAAAATTGTAGTAAAAATGTATAACAGCAATAGATCTCTTACTCTTTTTAAGGTGCCAGAGGTCGAAGTAGTGTGTTATATTTTTTAGCACAGTCTTCATGTGACTTGCGATCTGAGTATGTCTGTCTGAGATGAATGTACTTATAACAACACCACATCCCAGCAGGAAGTCCATGCACGATTGGAACCCCAAGAATTCCATTGCTGGGCTGTTTCCTGCTTGATTTCTCTGACATGAAAGAGAGAAAGTGTAATTATTTCAATGTAAGTTCAATATGTTTATTACTTGTATTCAATGATATGTGCTGATCATTCGTATTAATACATAACATATGGAAAAATTGGTTACAAATCAACAAATACAATAGCAAGTGACATGTTATAAATACTTTGCAGTGAGATCAGCTGCCAAAGTTTTTTTTTTTTAAACTTTTGCTTTGATTTCTGACTCAGTCTATTCTAAGACACTGTACTATAGTAACAACTAACAATACAAACAGACAGAATCTTGCAGAGATGGTCGATACACAACCCACAAAATGTGGTTGAATCTACATGAACATTAACATGGTATTCACACCAATGGTAATACAATAATAAAACAGTTCAATTAATAATGTACCTGAACAAGTGCAAAGTGGATAATGCGAGGTAATGTGCAGCAGAAGATGGTATATGCACAGTACTTTGCGCAATGCCCCATGCTATCATGGCGCCCATCACCCGCTATAGTAATCCCCCCAAGTTCCTTGAGCTGTGAAAGCAGATTTGCCTGGTACTTTTTCCAGAAGAGGTGAACTGTGGGAAACAGCTTTGTCTGCAGCATGAATGAAATTGAAAATAACAAATTATTGACAAATATTATTATAATGTCCTGTACTCAAGGCATCAATACAACAATGTTGTAAGCAACCTTTTCTTTTTGTGCCATACATAAGGTAAATGCTACTGATCAGTGCATGTATTTATTAATCACGATTAAATTGAGTTTTTTTCAATAAAGACTGTCACTGACATTGAGGTTGGTTGTTTTTTGGTATTTCATTTACATGTAGAGCAAAACAACTTAGAATGGGGTAGCTTCATTTATCATAATATTATTTTTGAAAACCCATTCACTCTAAATGAGGTACAAATAAACAATGAGATACTCAACTAGTACTACAATGTATAGCCATCTAAGACACTTCAGTTGGATGAACCTGCATTGCAGATTCCAAAGGCACATTGCAAATCACAATCATCTTGCCAGACCTCCCAAGATGAACATGAAAAAAAATGTTAACCTACAGCATACACCCTGTTATGCATAGGTACAGTGAACACTACATTGGGTCCTTTCTTTTAGGCTTAATATTATCAGCACAACTCACCCGTTGGTGTGTGAAGAATGTATTTAAAGAGATACACGAGAGGCCCATGTGTTGGAAGATCTGTGCCACTCTTGAAAATGATCCACCTGAAAAGAGCGTTGCCATGCACAGGAGGAAATTGCCTGCAGCAGTCTTGGTACCCGGCATAATGGGCTGGCTGTGCCAGGTGAATTCCTTCCGGCAACTGGGATTTGTGCACTCTGCTTTGATGACAACTTCCGTTCCATTCTCAGTGGCAGTCACCTTAGGTTTGTTTTCCGTACGGCAAAAATGGCAGAGTTGGAATAACAACAGGAGTTTAGATAAAAACACTATGTGTTTTGGCTCCGCCCTCAAGTTGTAATTGCTCGACAGAGGAATACTGTGAATTAAACCAAGAATATAAAGTCATATATAGTTATATAGAAAACTGCAAATAATGACACCCTGCTCTATCATTAATGGTGTGATGCATGAAACAAATCAGGTGGCATTTAGCCTGTACATGTAAGTGATCTCTCCATCAGTCATTATCTGTGTCTTGCCCCACTGCTTTTTCCAAATGGAGAGCATTCTTACAGGCTGGTAATGGTAATAGTATTTGAAGATCATGTAATTTGGAATTCATATCAATGTTTACTAGTACAGAATAACCTTTTTGCTTTGCTGTTAGTGGATTCATCTTCAATACTTGAGGTATCTGTCTCGTCACTCTCACTGGACAGATCATGTTCACCATCCAGGGAGAAGTCTGGCTCTTCCTCGATTGTCTGGTCATCTTCATCTTCGTCGTCACATCCCTGGTCAATCAAGGCATCCTCATTGTCAACTGAATCATTTAAAATACCGCTGCTATCTGC